TAAGCAAGCAGAATGGCTGTAAAGCCGCGTGTGTGATTAACGAAGGGGTTAAGTCCTGCCGGAGTGTCTGCCGTTTCAATCGGAGTCGGGTGCAACCCGCACTGGATTAGAACCTTCCCACTGGTTGAGCCGCCCTTAAAATGGCGCGATGCGTATTGCAAACAAATTCCGCGTGCGAGAATCGTCGTCTGAGCGGCGGAATCCCATGTACTTCTGTTGAATGAATATAAATCCTTTAATGTGGCAAATGTCATTGTTAAAATAATCGAACCATCGACCTCCGGATTGCAAGTCCAGTGTGCTAACCACTGCACGACCTCAGCTCACTTCGTAAAGTGCCATCTCACGTCATTGGCATCGCGGTCCAGATCTCTTCCCGACTCGCACCACAAGGTACCTGAATGAATGTGCAACTGGATTAACAGTTTCACCTATGTCCTGTGAAGCACGCGGGATCGTGACGCAGCGTGCCGGGAGATAGGAGCAGCAGAGACTGACGTTCGCGTTATCGACTGTACAGACTTTTACTCCAACGGCAGATGTCCTTGCTAACCATCGTGATGACGCGTTCCTTCTAGGGATGCTGCGATAACTTTAACTCAAACAGCTCAATCAGCATCATCGTCAATCATGATCAATCCACTGCCCGATTTAATGGCTCCCCAATTCGCCAGCGCCTCTCGTAAATAAGTGATACAACGCGAACCGATCTCATTGCTCCATCTCCCAGGGAGACGTCGTCTCATGGACATTCCTTGGATGCGACTCCGTTATTACTCTTGACCATCGTCCATCGTCCCTTCTAGCAGTGACGTGTCCTTGCCCAAGCGCACTTCTTAACAGGATGAATGATGTAATTCACAGATGAAATTTAACAACGAAAACAAACTCATTTTCTGTAGTTCTGATTGGCTCTGATTTCCAAACATCTACAAATCCAATGACATTCCACGCCTAATAAAGTAATGCGGATGGAAGCTGGCAATTCAAAGTTTTCAAGGTTTTTTTATAGACTGCATATTGTTTGTAAACTTCTCTTGCATCTCTTAATGGTTGTGTTATTTTAATCATCAACATGAAGGAGAGGTTTTTTTGACAAACAAATTGGCGAACTTTGGGTTAGAAAAAGTGAAACGTACACTTCCAAAACAGTCTCACGACCAGATTCCTGGTCAACACAGGCCTCGGAAAGATCGGTCGGCATGAACTCCAGAGCCACGTGAGACGCGCAACGACTGAGGTTGAGAACGGTCTCTCAGGGGAAAACCTCGAGCCACATCTGGAGGCAAGGCTACAACAATAAATAATCTCCGGCTCGCGACGGCCCCTGCGCACGGACATCTCACGCAGAGCCCCCATTCCGAAACGGCAATCGAGCGCTCGTTGCACCAACTCGGCCATCTGGTGACAAATCTGAACGAAGTCGGAGCTCCGCCCCCCGATGATGTCCGAGTGAACAAAAATTAGCCCGGAAAAGGTGAGCGGATAATGATCTGCTGCGCTGCTCCTGCGACTGCAGCATCGGCAGTGGTGCACAAACACATTCAACAACAACAAATATACAGACACATTCAACAACCAACAATAAATGCACAAACACATTCGTCAAGAACACTGTGGCCTAAAAAAGAAACGCTGTGTATGAAAGGCGACGTTTACGACAATGACCCTTCGCCATAGTATAGATGGAGACCAGGGAGGTGGAGTCATAATTAAAGTAAAAGTAGCGTCAGACGGCACGCGCAAAGTGAAACAGCGAGTGACACGTGGAAGGACTAAAACCGCTACTCACTCCACCTCGCTCGCTCATTCACGCAGAGGCAAAGGTCGCCCCGTATAGCCTCAGCAGACTTTCGGTGCAAGCGCTGTTAGCGCGAGTGTGGGACAGCAGCCGTGAGGACAGCGCCAGACTATCCCAAGGTTTTTCCCACGCGCCGGCTAGCGTCGGCCCGCGACCAACGAGGCCAACACAAGTTACCTAACAGCTTACATTATTACGTTGCATAGTGAGTGAAATTGTGGCTCGCTGATCATAAAAAAAACGCGAAAACAAGAATATATCTACTCTTTGGGTCTTTCGGTAAAGTCACGTAGATAGAAAAATAATTTTACAAATCACGACGTTTCTATCGAAACACAAGCAATCGTCCTTAGGTGAAAAAATTGATCCAAGAGTATGAATTCATGCAGTCACGAAAGCTTTAAGTTAAACATATATCTGTTATGTTAAACAATTAAATTCGTTATATCACAATATAAAACCTGTCGGTTAAAATATCCTTAATAAATTGCAATAAACAAACAATATTAGCTGTTCTCCACGTATTCATCGGTTACAAAATAAATACTCAGACAATATGCCTCCTTTCTTTTTCTATCTCCACACTTGAAATATATTTCAGCAGCATTGATTCAACAGAAGCAACTCCGCACCGTGTCGTCTTTGCTTGTGCTCCTGTTGAACCAATGCTGATTTAAATTATGCGCTGCCAAAAGGCCATGTGCCTGATGGGATGTGTAAGAAATACTGGCATGTGGAGAGATGGATAATGTGACGGAGAGAGTGCGTATGCATATTGTACTACGGTCATGAATTCGACTGCTTTGATCACGGGGAAGGAAGCGCGGCTAATCTCGCGATTGTCCATCCACGGAAGAGACCTAACGCTGTGTGACAACCTCTGCAATGGTGCCGTACGTTTCAAGGACACAACCGGCACACACATGAAGAAAATAACGGTAAGCACATTCGGATTGAAGAAAATACAACGCTAACTATTTCCGCTGAACAGGAAAGGAGACCGGATATCAGTGTAACCATTGCGAGAGTCGTAAAGCTATACGTCGTGCAGAATACTATATATAGTAGGGCATAGGCTGCACGTGAGCATAGCGTTTTACGCCGAGATGTCGATACATGTGCGAATGCTCGGCCGAGTATAAATACACCCGAGACTGGCAGCTGACAAGCCGCTGTCCGTGCCGTCCACGCGCGTGCATGGAGCACTGGGCAGCAATCGACATGGGCATTCTGCTGATGGTTTAAAAAGAAACGCCTAAATATAACGACACACTCGCGCGAACGCGCACACAGGTCACGCGCAGCTCTTGAGAGTCGCGCATTCAGAATGTGCCCTCGCGTCCGTTGCCCCGATAACAATTCGTGGGGAATGTGCTGCAAAATGTGTGCGAGCAGGAAAGTTTTCAATCAGAGCAATGCATAGGAAGGGCCCCGCGCGTTCTATCGGCAAACAAGGAGGCGACTTCTAGCGCCACGTACACCAGAGAATAACTTCGCCTCAATGAGAAACGTCATCATAACTGTGCCCCCCAATAAGGGAACTGTGCTACCCCGAATTATGAAAAACCGTGCCCACAAAAGCACCCCCTAATCAGAAAACGACTGCACTCCCATAATAAGATCATTACTGCACCCCCAATAATGAAATAACTGTGCCCCCTAATAAGATAACAGCTGTACCCCCCCCCCAATAATGGAACAGAACCCTCTACAATATAATCACTGTAACCCCATAATATAATCACTGTAATCCCACAATATAATCACTGTAATCCCACAATATAATCACTGTAATCCCACAATATAATCACTGAAACCCCACAATATAATCACTGAAATCCCACAATATAATCACTGAAACCCCATAATATAATCACTGTAACCCCACAATATAATCACTGTAATCCCACAATATAATCACTGTAATCCCACAATATAATCACTGTAATCCCACAATATAATCACTGTAATCCCACAATATAACCACTGAAACCCCATAATATATCCCACAATATAATCACTGTAATCCCACAACATAATCACTGTAATCCCACAATATAATCACTGTAATCCCACAATATAATCACTGAAACCCCATAATATAATGACTGTAATACCATAACATAATCACTGTAATCCCACAATATAATCACTGTAATCCCACAATATAATCACTGTAATCCCACAATATAATCACTGTAATCCCATAATATAATCACTGTAATTCCTTAATATAATCACTGTAATCCCATAATATAATCATTGTGCCCCTCAATAAGAGAACAAGTGAGACACCCAAAAAGCGAATACGAACACCCCCAATCACCACCACTCTCACCCCAATCACCACCACTCTCACCCCCAATCACCACCACTCTCACCCCCAATCACCACCACTCTCACCCCCAATCACCACCACTCTCACCCCCAATCACCACCACTCTCACCCCCAATCACCACCACTCTCACCCCCAATCACCACCACTCTCACCCCCAATCACCACCACTCTCACCCCCAATCACCACCACTCTCACCCCCAATCACCACCACTCTCACCCCCAATCACCACCACTCTCACCCCCAATCACCACCACTCTCACCCCCAATCACCACCACTCTCACCCCCAATCACCACCACTCTCACCCCCAATCACCACCACTCTCACCCCCAATCACCACCACTCTCACCCCCAATCAGCACCACTCTCACCCCAATCAGCACCACTCACCCCCAATCAGCACCACTCTCACCCCCAATCAGCACCACTCTCACCCCCAATCAGCACCACTCTCACCCCCAATCAGCACCACTCTCACCCCCAATCAGCACCACTCTCACCCCCAATCACCACCACTCTCACCCCCAATCACCACCACTCTCACCCCTAATCACCACCACTCTCACCCCCAATCACCACCACTCTCACCCCCCAATCACCACCACTCTCACCCCCCAATCACCACCACTCACACCCCAATCACCACCACTCTCACCCCTAATCAGCTCCACTCACACCCCCAATCACCACCACTCACACCCCAATCACCACCATTCACACCCCAATCACCACCATTCTCACCCCCAATGAGCATCACTCTCACCCCCAATCACCTCCACTCTTACCCCCAATCACCACCACTCGTATCGTGAGTATCGTTGGAGCCCCCCCCCCCCCCCGCGCCGTACGCCGCACGTACCCACGCACTCGTTGGCGTCGCGGGCGGTGGCTCTCTGCCAGGGCCGGTCGTGGTGGAAGGGCTTGCACTGGTCGCAGTCGGGTCCCGCCGTGCTGTGCTTGCAGTCGCACGCCATGGCGCCGTCACGCTCGCCGCGCACGCAGCGCGCCGCGTGGCCGTTGCACTTGCAGCGGCCGCCCACCTGCAGGTCGGCCACGGCGTAGAAGTGCGAGTCGCGGGCCCCCTGCGACAGGTGCGGCGGAGCCCCCGGGCCCTCCTGGAGGGGGGACTCCGCGGGCCCCCCCGGGTGCTGGGCGCCGTCGTCGTGCGGCGGCGGCGGCGCGGGCGCGTGGAGGCGGCTGAACACCACGCGGATGTCCGTGGCCGTGACCCAGTCCTGCAGCACGGGGCTGCTGTCGAAGTCGTGCGCCGAGGGGCGACCGTCCAGGGTGCTGAACGCCACCAGCCCGTCTCCTGCAGCCGACGACGATGAAGAGGATGCGGCCGCGGCTCCCTGCGAGCGCGCCTCGAGATGCGCGTCCGTGCAGAGCGCCTCCTGCTCGTTCTGTTTGGTGACGGTCGCCCTGTTGGGCCGCGCGTACATCTTGCGGCACTGCGTCGAGTAGAACTGGAAGGGCACCCACGTTTTGCCATGGTCGGCCGACTTGAAGATGGCCATGGACTCGGGGCGCACCGAGCAGAACTGCAGGCTCACGTAGGTCACCTCGAACTTCTTGCCGAGCGCAAGGCTGAGTGTGACGTTGAGCGGGGGCTGCACGTTGCTGTCGGACTGCCAGCACGTGAGGTTGTGCGGGTTGTTGAGGTCGGTGAGGTAGGCGGGAGGGTGAGCGCGCTTCGGGTCCGAAGCGTCGCACACGTGGCACGAGCGCACGGCGGCCACACCACCGCCGCGCTCCTCGAGGAGGCCACCCGAGCAGAACCGCGCCGGGGGCTTCCCGCACGAACTCGAGGCGCGCACCTCCCTGCCGAACGCGGCGTTCACGAAGTCCGGGATGCAGCGGCGAGGGTTGCCGGCCTCGTCGCTGCACGGGTCCGGGGGCAGACCCTGCTGCTGCGCGGCGAACATGCTGAGGCCGTAGCGCGACGCGGCCGCGCCGCCGGCCACGCACCACCCGCAGAGCGCGCACAGAGCGAGCAGCAGCCCCGCGACGCCACCGCCGCCGCACTCCATCGCGTGGACGCCGCGGGACGAGAGCTCCGGGACGCGTCCACTCCTCTTGGATCCGAACGCAGGCCCCGGAGGCGAGCGGGGAGCTTGAGAGCGGTCGCCGGAAGATCTGCGCCGGAGTGAACGGCACAACAGAGGGGTTTTGTTGAAGGGTCAGCGTCGCCCGCTGTGAGCGCCGCCAGTGCGTCTGTGTGCGGCTCGGGCAGTGCGTCTGTGTGCGGCTCGGGCAGTGCGTCTGTGTGCGGCTCGGGCAGTGCGTCTGTGTGCGGCTCGGGCAGTGCGTCTGTGTGCGGCTCGGGCAGTGCGTCTGTGTGCGGCTCGGGCAGTGCGTCTGCGTGCGGCTCCGAGCGCTGCGGCCCCAATGCGACCGGCGAGTCGAGTCGAGCGTAAGAAATATCTCGATATGAAATCAATATCACGATCACGTGATATACTTGTTCTGATTCGCGCGGTGATATTGAGATGGAGGTGGGAGTGATTGAACGAAAAAGGCGAGAATTCTGCTTTGCCGTCTGAGTCCTCCTCTCCGAAAAAAGCCGAAACTCACGTCCGAGCGTAGAGACGTTCAGTCAGACGATTGGAGACAATTTATAAAAGTTATACGTGAAAAATATATCGCATCGTAACGCGAACAGAGCGCGACAATTATCGCGCGCACGTGAACATACACGCCACGATGCGTGTATATAAGTATACATCAGCACACACATACCACAATACTTGTGTATACATATATCCAGCACACACGGGTACCGAGATATTGTGATGGGCACTCGTAAAGATAAAAACGCACGCGTACGAGACGACGGCAATCCTACGAGCCTTCAAAGCCGTTGCGAAATCGCGCCGTGCGTCTACCGTGGCTGAGGAGCGCAGTGCCGCTGCTGCTGCTGCTGCACCTGCAGCGGAGCGTACTGCGCTTCGCTACCTGCAGCGGCTACTGCTGCATCTCCAGCTACTGCTGGGAGGTGAGCGCGACGGCTGATGGGTCGCGCTACCTCCCACGCAGCTGCTTTATCGGCACAGCGAGAGAGAGGGGGAGGAGGAGGAGGGGTTGGGGGTGTAAATGAGGGGAAGCTTCACGCACAGTTTAATTAGAGCCCGGTTTCACCACCCGCCTCGATGCACGGCCCCCAGCCCTCATTAATTTATTTATTTGAGTGTCGCTGCCCCTAGTGCCTTGCCCCTAGCGCCCTGCCCCACTCCCCGTTAAGAAGCGGCCGCCCAGCGTTGGAGAGCGCCGCCAGGGGCCCGCGGTTTGGTGAAACAGCCGTGCAATATCGTCGTCGTTTTAAACACCGTTACGGCACAGACCCAAAACCCCAAGGGCCCACAACAAACAGCGCTATTGGACAAGGCTTTCAATGTTACAAGACACTGGAAATCACTCTATACGGAGAGATGTGATTTCCATGCGACGTGTATGACATACGTATATTTGTCGTGGCTATTAGCGCAAGGCATGCGTGGTTCAGTGGCACAGTGGGTTAGCCCGCTGCGACCTGAGTTCAATTCCCGACCATGGCTTATACATCAGTGGCGAGTGATATCTGGAGCAATCTCCCTGGTCCATCCCCTTCACCAACCCGTACTGATGAGTCTGATGAAGCGTGGTGGTGCGGCCAATCGACACCCAACAGTGACTGGGGATGCCTTCATTCAGCAGTCGACTTGCAAGCAGCGGTGGGGCTGCGAATTTAAACGGTGATCCTATCGCCTACCGAAGAGTATTAACGGACCATACCGCTAATGCGTGTTTGTCTTCATAGTAGCCAAAAGGTCACGGCTTAGTCGCGCCTCTAGCACCCGCGTGACTCCTCATGCGCCGCGTGCAGAGTGACAGTCCGTCACTCTGCAGGTGGCATTCTGCATTGTCCGGCGACGCTTAATGTAGTACCGTTCGAGTGGCGTTCCTTGTCAGCGGCGAGTGGACAGAATACACACACACGCACGCGGAATACACACACACACGCACACGCGCACGCACGCACGCGGCAGTGAGGCCGATCAAGGTGCGCACATCGCGAGACGTTTAAACGCCACCCGGTGAATCGTGAACACACGACCACGAGTCCCGCCCCCACGGTATGTATTTGGTGTATATTTGGTGTATTTTGTGTAATCGGTGTCCGCGTGCATTGCCGCTCTCAGAGAGAGGTGTTGCAGTGGCGCTTCACTACGAGCCCCGGGCCACGCGCGTTCTATTACTACCGATCACGGTTAACATCAGTGGAGAATATCTGAAATCGGTCCAGGGTCTCCCCGAAGATCGGCTCAGCCTTAAATGAGTTGTTAATGCGGTATATAAACAATCAACAGTGGGAGGGGGGTGGCAAAGGCGGGCCGGGTATGACGCTGGATACACCACACTCTCGTGCGTCGGCCCAACCGTAATAGGTGATCGCAAACCGCACTTATTGCGACCAGGGCCGGATGATAATTTTTTTGTAGGCCCCTGAGCTACAGGTACTGTGAGGCCCCCAGTAAAATTTTCAAAAGGAAAACAGGGTTAAAGAAAAATAAAATGTATTTTACAAGGCTAACAACAAATAAAATTCAGCATTCACAAGTGAAATAACGTTTCACAAAATCTCTGGAGGCCCTCCAGCTGGCGGAGGCCCCTGGGATGCAGCCCCTAAAACCCCCGTGCCTTAATCCGACCCTGATTGCCACCAGTCTGTAAGGTACTACACGAGGTGTCTGCCTTGTGTGTGTACGTGCGCGCGCGCACGACAAGCCGTTAAAAATACAAACCTCTACGAGTCTCACGTTGACCCCGCGTGTTAGTGAACTCGGAGATATTGTATTAATAAAGCGGCTTACGTGTAAATAAACTGCGCGTGGAGTTTACAATGAGGCTCTCGCATTCTCTCTCACACTCGCTCACGAGGCTCGGCCGGGTTAGCCAAGGCGCAACACGGGCGGGGTGGTGCAGGAGGAGGATTGACTGAGCCCGGCTCGGCTCCCGTGTGCGACTCCCGTTGTGAGCCGCGATTTCTCTCCCCCGTAACCTCGAGCCGCGCTCTTCCTCTGATTCAGCACGGGCCCAAATGCCCGAAAATGTTCAGCGGCCAGCAACAAACAGCACCATCGCAGTTGTAGATTGGTATAAGAGTTCCAAGGTCCAATCATAATTCTGCGGACACGTGCCCGGTGGATTGAATTAAAATAAGTAAATTAAATGTTAATGAGGTGAGATTAGAAGTTGAGCTTTATACAAAACGGCCCGCTTATGTCCACATCGCCCGAAATGCGCCGCTCTCTCTCTGATTTCGGAAGCTAAGCAGGCTGGCACCTGCACAGCGCTTGAATAGTCACGTGGTGGTCAGCAGAGGGCGGTGACACAGTCCACCAGGTGAGACGTCGAGATACCAGGAGGGTAACTTACACGAGTCACCAAAATAACTAAACGAAAGGCAATACAATGGACGTGAGCGGCAAAATGAATCAGCGGACAAAACACTTCGCTTCTGTATCTGTCACTCGGCATAAACGCATCCACATCCCAGCAGCAACCACACTGTTAACTGGGAACATCATTGGTTCAACACAAATCAATTTCAATTTAAAACGTAGGCTTTCGCCACCAATATCATCCATAATAGAGGCTTTTTGGGGTTAGATCGCGTAAATATATAAATGTGTCGTTAAACCCGCCTGATGAAGCAAGTTGTAATTACTGGCGAAACGTCGTACTCAGATTGCAAATGTTGTGGCTTGGCTCTCCACCACACCGGTGTGCTGTACTAGTGACGAATTGCCACGTTCTGTTTATGTAACAACTCTTACTAGTTGGCTGTGTCGGGTGGTGGCGTGTTTAACGACACATTTATATATTTACTTACACGATCTAACCCGAAAAAACCCTCTATTATGGACAAACAACCCTCTGAATGGGTTTTGATCGTTCGTGTCTCATCGACCGAGTCGGGCAACTCAAACCAACTGCTCGTGAACTGCCGCACCTTCGTAGGCACGGCCCGTCTCCCTGCTCAAGATAGGTCCTCGTGAGCAGTGCGGACGACCAATGGGGGCCAGGGTGTTCCAGACAGTGGGACAGCAATGGAGAAGAGTCGACCCCCCCGCTCGCCCCCTCCTTCCTACACATCGAGCGGATCTCCCCTCGGCGTGAGCTCACAAATCACGGCGCTCGCCTCAATTGATATCCACAGTTGCGCCGACAGGCGGTGCTGGAAAGATGCGCGCGGGCCAAGTATGTGCGATATCCAGCGGAGCTTCTCGGGAAACGTGCATTTGCTGCGGAGAAATGATCGAGTTTACGTCATGGCCGATGGTGTTTTACCGATGCGTGTTGTGTACATTGGGTGGTGGCACCGCCGGCATTGGCAAGTCGGTGTAATAACACCCGGTGTGTGCAATCAAACAAAAGGTCGCCACGCAGGAACTCCGCCGCTCGTTTGGCCGCACCTCGGGAGTTTTCCGGCCATTGGGCTCACACCCACGGCGCGCCCTCTCGACTGGCGGCTCGCGGGCCAAACGCGGATCCCGAAAACGCGCTTTGGGTTGGCACCGCCGAGAATCGGATACCGCTGGCGGAGACATCCAGGTACATTACACAGGTTCGCGAGACAACATAAATCATTTGAACACAATTGCTGTGTGCCGGCCCAAAGGTCCAACACGCCCAGCGGCCGGAAACAAACGGCACGGCCAAAATTGTAATCGAAAAGAGTGAAACACTTTTCTTAAATTAACCGAGGCTAGTATAAGAGGAACAGTGCGAGGGAAGAAGCAGAACAAGATGCGTTGTGAGTTGCAGTGTGGTAGTTGAACACAGCGTGGATGAGATCCGAGTCCTTCACATGGCAAGAGGAATAATTTAGTGAAGTTCACGGGAACAGTAACCATGGTAGTAGCCATAGAAGAGTGATGACGAGTTGACTGCACGCCTGCGAGCGAGTGCCTGAAGTGAATCGGTGAGTTATGGGTCAAGCTAAACAATGAGCACATGTATGCTCATGGCATTGTTTGGCACATCGGAAAACAGATATATACAAGATATACATTTATTTAGCCTTGCACTCCACGATCGCAGTTGGCGTGGATGCAGTGCGAAAAGTAGGGAGGAAGTGTGGGGGTGGCACGCAG